GTGAGCACCCAACCAAATGAGGTTACCAAAACTCATGTGTGTACACACTAGATAAGCAATCATGCCTCGCATACGCTATCTTGCGAAAGAGGTGGCATCATGAAGGTATCACCCCATGCATATGAAAGCAGTGCCAATATCTCACTCAACACGTGAACTTCCAACATTAGGTAGAGTATGAACGTAAAGCCACGATAACCTAGTGAGCTATGATGTACATCAACCAAACATAATTCAAGTACATCAAGAGACCAATTAAAACACATTTATATTTTCTTAGTACCAATTACACTCATAATAAACCTACATAGGGTCAAAAGCAGAAAGTATGTGAATTTACTGCAACTTGCAAGACACTGAAAAACAAACATCTTGTACATAAAGACAAGCTCTCAAACTAGAAGCTGTGACAAAATAAAGTTCTCAACAATGCTCTTCTTCCAAGCCAATCAAACTGTCTTTGAGAGCACCACATTAAGTACCAAAATATGTACTATAGAATGAATAAGGTCTTTTTACGTTATTGAATCAAAAAGTCTAAAAACCAAGATTTTTAAAATGAAGCACATTTAATCTTTTTTAAATACCAATTTGTGAGAAAAGAGATTAACTTTAAAAGTGAAGCACATTATGCATCCCAAATAGCGACAATGACATTGACATTTAAAAGCATTTATGTTATCAGAGTTAAAATGTCCACTTTGGACTAATTTAAAATACATACAATTGAGTTGCTCTAGTAGCACAAATATATATGGAATACACACTAATTTTTTTTTTAGCTCATGTTACAATCAAGAGTTTTCACTGATCTACAAAAGACAGGCAAAAACAAGAATAAAATATAAACATACAAGATGATAGAAAAGACCATGGTTGGCATTTTTTAATTCTGCTGAAGTATCATCAATCTGTCATTTCAGATACACTTACATGGACTGGCCTTCCAGCGTGGAAAAGGGGAAAAAGGGGAAGCATGGGTAGACTTGTTCATGTTTCAGGCACACCACATATAAATGCACATTTAATATATCTGGACATGAGTACGTCCTCTGTTACTGTGGCTCAGCATTGAGGACCAAATGGTTGCTAGTGTCAGAGCAGAAAAGCAAGTATTATGAACCTCATGGTGGAAGAATGCATCATTTCCTATGAAGTAACCCCGTCACACAATTAAATTTGAAGAAGCAAGGCTTTAGACCTTACCAACAACTTATAAACATGCAGAAGATGCATTCGGGATGCAATGGGACAATCCACACAGGAAAACTGTAGGAAAGTGAAGTCATTTTTAGAAAACAAACAAAAGGAAGGAGGGAAGAAACTTCTGGCATGTGGGCCAGAACACATGAAAAGGTATTTCTAAAATTACAATATACAGATTATACTTGGCATCCTGATTAAACCTTCTAAAACATGAAGAAATGTGAATACTTACTGCTTGAAATTTGAGAAATATTAATTTTTGGTATAATAAAGATACTATGAAAAGTTTTTTAAAAGATACCGTAGCTGATTTTTAGAACTATTTTTATCTTTTAGAATGAATGACGATTTGCTGTCAATGAGGTAATGGCAGGAAGGCTGATGTGCTTAAATCGTGACATTAGTGACAAGGAACAAGCAATAGCCAAAGCAAGTGGATTCAAAATAAAAAACAAATTCTCCAAAGTAGGTTTTCCCTGAGACATTTCTGGTTATTGGAATGGTATAATTTCTGTACTAATGTATATCTATTGAAATAATATGCAATGTAAAAATATGTCTTTGGATTGTTCTCAAGAGTTAAAGATTACTTCTGCCATAATGTGACCACTCTCATGTGTGCAGCTAGTGAAATCCTACTCTCTTCCCACAAAGAAATATGCTTTCCTCTTCCAAAGTCAAACAGACATAATCAGTACGAAGCTTCAATAAATGGCCCCTCCATAAAATAAAGATAGTGCGATGTTTTGTAAAAGTAGCCTTAGTTTCACTACTCATCTTCATGTTCTAAAAGTGTGGATGTGACATAACAGGAGGAAACAGCCGTATGTAAACAGAGACGTTTCCAACTTTAGGGGTACTGTCGACATTATCTAAAGATGCTTTCATGAATCAATTTTTGGAACAAAACAATCCAAAGTGTATGCCACTTAAAGAAATGGCTACTTGTTCAAAAATAGTTTAGAAAAATATATACCACTATTAGAAATAACAAGCAGTAAACAGGAATTTGATTATAAAGTGTGATTTCTACTCAAAACAGTTCATAAGCAGTAAGTAAACACCACTAAAAGACAAGTTAAGATTCCTTTAAAATGAGCTGATCTGAAAACAAAAACCAACTGGTATCTATACCAGGGTTCCAGGATCCCACGATGCCAACGTACAGCAATGTTCAGATCCCGAGTACACTACGAGATGAACATAATCTGTATAAATCCTCCTACGTACGACTCCTTTAAAATGCCCAATAACTTGCAAATTCTGTGCAAGAGTTGTAAGGAGTGTTTAAGAAAAGGTGAGACAAACAGGCTGCACATGTTTGGTGAAGATGCAATTTTTTAAATATTCTCAATATCTTGATGATGAACACACAAGATAAACATGTTAAAAGCAAACTGTGTAATGGCTAGCTTGTCAATGTGGCTAACATGTCCACTTAGAGGCACTGTCAGAGTTTCCTTAACTCTATCTTTAACCTGATAGTAGTAGTTTGGGAAGAGAAATAAAGTAGATCCTAATTCCTAAGATTATTAATTGTATTTTGTTAATTGAAATGAAAATGGGTTATACATACATGAACATACAAACACAGTAGCCAATATGAAGAGCAAGAAAAAATACAGAATTTCATCTCACTTTAGAAAAAGCTTTTTTTTTTTTTGAAACTTTATGAGTTACTACATGGCAATGAGAGCTAATACCTAAAAACCTAACTTGGTTTAAATAAGAAATGGGGGGGGTTATTGATTAAAAACTAAAATTGGAAAGTGAAACCCAATCCCACAATGTCAAAACAAAAAAGCTGAGAAATAGAAATAAAATCCCATCCTTTTTTTGACAGGACATTTCCAATTAACAAGTGGGGGGATAAATCTCTACTTTAGACCCTGTAAGGTTAAAATCTCCCTCTGTGGACCATTCTTTCCTTTCCCGAATTGCATGTAAACTACTGCCATGTACAAATAACATGTTATATTTATATAGACTTTAACACTATCAAAATCACACTGACTTTTTTCATATTTTTGTCAAATTTTGCACTTATTCTAATTCCTATAATCCTATAATAATGTAAAACATGGAGCTTTAGCTTCTTTCTAGAACTTTCTCACATATGAATAACTATCAGAAGCAGTAGTTACTACTAAAAGAACCTTAACAATTTCTTTATATATAGCTTTGTGTGTGTGTGTGTGTGTGTGTGTGTGTGTGTGTGTGTGTGTGTGTGTACACGAAAGGGGATCGGCACAGCAACACACATCTCCTATCAGGCACATGGTTAAATACTAAATGTTCAAACACAGTCAAAAACTAGTCTATAGCTAACTTCTAGCTTATGGAAGCTTTTATATTTTAATAAAACTTACAGGAAAAAACAATTTGTGTTATTGAAATATTTTAGTAGTAGAAAAGAAACCATGAGATAAATATAAAAATGGAAAAACAGTTCAAAACATATCTAAGTAACAAAAGTAAACATGGTCTCTATAGGGTAAAAATGATCTTTCAACTATTCCACAGAGATAGATTTGTATATACCTGACAATCAGCTGTGCACATCACTAGTATTCTCGTGAATACTCATGTTCACAGAAAACTCCCTATGTACAGTGTACATACACAAAGCTTTATCAGCAGTGCAATGCTCTCTAAAAGCCTTAAGCACCAGTCTAAGATTCCTAAAACCTGCCAAGCTCCCAGGATGCCAAATAATCCAGATTATGAATACAGACTATATTAAATACGTCATAGATTTCCAGATTGCCTTATGCCCACAAAACCAAACTAAATGCCTAAAATTAGCCACATAATAGGCACAGCATGAGAGGGAGTTCTTCATCAGTAGGTATCTGTACTTTAGAAACACAGTTCTTAAGCACTAATTTCTTTTAGGTTATATATTCAAGTCGAGACTTATATAGAATCCTAAATGTGATCACTCTGTTTGGACTCATATGGCATATCAAAAACTTCCTTCTCAAAATAAAATTTTGATCAAAAGAGCAATAAATTCTTATCTTTCATGGAAAGAAATCTTAGGCCTATCTTTCTTGTGGCTCATAGCACTACTCATACTTAAATGAACATCAAGTTAAGTTTGTCACAGTGTATTACTACTAAGGAAGTGACTTCCAATGACTCGAACTAATGTGCCTTACTAATTGTATATTAGGTGATTAAATATATTAAAACATATTTTCAATGAGATATTGATGAACTAACCATCTTTCTTAATCTGATATTATTGCCTTATAATACATGTTAGTGTAGATCCTCTAATTTCTACAACAGTGCTAAAGAAAAATAGTATCTAATTATTCAGAATAAAGCTTTCACTACTTGTTATATTTTAGGAGTATGCCACAATTCTGTCTTCTATATGAAATATATAGAATGGAATTTTATATAATAAAATTCATGTATACATATACATATATATATATATGTATATATGAATAAAAGATGATTGGGAGTAGGTGGCTGGTGAAGAGCACCTAATTTACATTTTTATTAAAAATAATTTATCTATTCTGATTCATTTCATAACATCTTCACTGCCTTTGCAAGACACTTGTTCTATACAGTCCTTTTTCATTATCAATAGAAAAACATTCTTTGGGCCTTAAAACATTTGCCATTATCACAATTTTCAGAAGTCTACTGCAGCATTAAGTTACCATACAAAGATTAACATCTAAAGATTTATATAACATGTCTCAAAAGTTATATGATACTGGAAAGAATATAGTTAATGAGCTATGTGATACAAATGAACAAAATAAACCCAAAAATTCTCATGATATGTTTCCAGTTTTAATTTGAAAAAAAAAAACAAAAATGAAAACAAAAAAATTTGAAACATATACATACATTTAGGAGGACATGGAGAGAAAAGGGATGAATTACCAATAGTCATCGGCAAGTGTTATCAACAACTGGTTCTATAATTCAATTTCTCTAATTAAACCTCAAGCTTCAAAGTTTATTTTAATTGTTTTTTACAGTTACCCGTTTGAACAACACCAACATTAAATACTAAATCAAGATTATCTAGAAAATTCCTTGTGTAGATTCCTAGCTGAAGTAGCTCCTGTCTAAATCTGGCACACAAATATACTCCAATACTCTCTCTGTACTTATCTGTGTACCATACTTTCATCACTATTCATATACTTAGCAAATAAAGCATTAAAATAAGGCCAATGCTTCATATACCAAAACCATGTTCACAAAACAACTTAAGAACTTTCTTCCAGAGATGAAAAAAAAATAATAATTATTGTGTTAGGAGGCATATATTTTATTACTCTTGCATGTATTGTGGACAAAAATATTGACCAGCTAATTATGCTCTTCCAAACATCATATTCACTGAGTTTATGGCCATGGTTTTAGTGCAACAAAAATATCTTTGAAAAGCCACTCTACAGAAGTTATGGCAAGGCTCATTAAAATTCAGAGGTAAAGATTCTATTAATATAGAAACTTAGAAAACAATGTTTGAAAATGAAAGATACTCCATCAGAATGAATAATTTTAGTATACTAAAAATATATAAGCATTTCTGAATTAGATTTACTGTCAATTTTGATGGAGCACACCTAGTGGTGATACGCTCTGAGAGGTACCATGTTACATGACATTATACTTGAGATTATAGTCTTAGGTAAACATTTAATACACAATGCCAAGGTAGTTTCATTTTTTTTCTGTTTTTAATTTTTGTACCAAAAACGGCATACATTTAACGTTGACATTTCTTCTTACCTGTGTGCCTCAGACCAATAAAGTACTCTGCATTAGAATTTAAATCTTGAGACAGTAGTACAGCAGTGAAAAAAATTGTAAAGCAGCTCAGATACATTGAACCCAGATTTTACATTTTCATTTGTCAGATCAGAATATAAAAAGTAAGCTTGAAATCAACTTGGAAAAGCTTATTCTTCCTCAAGAAAAAGTATGAACAATCTGAAAATGATCAACTAGTATGAATGAAACATTGTACATAGTGAAGTCACATTAGTGGTTGTTAAACATACCACTCCCTCCTGGAAATTACGGAACCATCTACATGGGAAACTAAATCATCTTCATTTTCATCGTAGCGTTCATCACTGACGAACTTCATTCCCAATTTGAGATCTTCGTAATAATCCATCGGTCTTTCAAACCTAGTGAGATTGTCTACATTATTCCACTGTGTTTTCTCAGGCTCCTCTAAGTAGTCTTTACGTATTAGATTGTTCACTGGATTCTTGTTCTCTTTTTTTACACTGTCTGGGTAAGAATCAAGCTCATCTTGTTGAAGAACATCGATTTGCGATTCTTTTTGCATGTCTGATGGTGGAATGTAGTTTTTGGCAAAGTAGTCTCCACGAAACGTCCGTCGTCTCCTATAGCAGAATATTCCAGCCAAAACACACACAAGCACTATGAAGAGAGCCCCACCCACTACACTAGCAATGATGGTGCCAATTGTGTCATCCTTAATTGTTGCCAAAGTTGACAATGGAAAGGGTAATTTTTTAGGTTCTGTTGCTAGATCCTCGATGTCAGCAGTTGAGGGATGCCACTGAACTGTAGGCTGAAGGGTGGTGGTAGTAGGAGGATCTAATGGAAACAGTAAAGATAGACAAGACACAGAAAGGCAGAGAATGTCAATGAGGCTGATCCAAGAGCAGTGAACAGGCAGCACAGTTAATGAATACATATCCACAGTAACAATAGTTTTTCATTCTTAAGATTACAAAGTAGTGTCACTTACAAAACTGAAAATCAAAACAAAACAAAAGAACTGACACTTAGTCAGCTGTCAATGAAGTGAGAAGAATGAAACCGACAGTGTAAGTCCAGGGTATTCAACCCACGTCTGAGTGAATACTGTGCTCTAAGAACGGCTATTGTCTCAATGTAGATTATTACTTAAGGCATCTATACATGGCTGGCTGAAGAATGATCAGAAAAAAATTCAATTAAATTAAGTATTCAAGTATATCTTCTTAGCCAGTAGCAAAAGGAAATAAAAAGACAATAAAAATGAAATGTTTTCTTAATATGTATCTTTACTTAATCTGTAAGATAAGAACTTATCTTTTAAAAGAATGAAAAACCATAGAATCTTGTTAAGTGAGCATACTATATAAGTCGTTGGTTTAATAATTCTCTCAAAAATATTTTAAAATAAAAAGTACTATAACTCTTTTTATTAAATATATAATAGTAAAGACTATTATTTGGTAATCTTAAAACTCAAAAAGCATATATTTAAAACTGTGTCAATCAAATGAGCTATAATCAAATCAGACTAACACACAAATTTAATGTAATAATCGCCTCTAATAACCAATGAATAGTATATATGAACATTTGTAAAATGAAGGAATTTCAACTATATTTGCAAAATTCCATGCCATTGTTTTAAGATCGACTGTCCAAAGAAAACAGCTAATATTTTAGAGAGAACATTCTAATAATATTTAAATATTAGATGCAAATGGACTATTTATTGACATTATATTACAGAGTAGGCGTTAATATTAAGAAGCAACTAAACATAAATAGTAAAAATTAAAGAATGGTTAACTGTCCATCAAGTAGTATCTGTAGGCCAAGTTACATAAAGTTCTAGATTTTAAAAAAAAAGATGAGTTTAAAAATGTTGAGTTTTTTCATAGATTAAAAAAAATGACCCAAATGGTAATCTCCTAAAATTAATTTTTATGTGAGTGGGTCTGACAGAGCTTTTTAAAATGATTGTTAGAAAAATACTAAATCTACATGGGGTAAGTTATTCTAACATCACAAGCTAAAGAAATGTACTTACTGAAACAGGTTTCATCACGGAATGCCATATGTATAGAATGTGGTAAAAATTTAGCAAGTACAATATTAAAAAAACAAAAAACAAACAAACAAAAACCCCAACAAACCATCAAATACCATAGAAGTCTTGTTCCTATGGTTTTAAGCTATTGCTGGGTGCTATCAAATGCTACGTGTATGTGAATTTAGAAAGACTTTGTAAGAGTCTTCTCTAGCTAGCTGAGCAAGTTCATTCTGCAGAAAGCAATTGTTAAGATTGATGGATTCTGTTCAGTGGAAAGCAGTAAAGCTTCATGTGGTCCAGCTTCGATGAGTTTAGGTACTACAGAAGTAAGTCAAACATCTACACTCCTTTCTGAGACCAGTTATATGTTTAGGGGACTAACGGGTTGGCCAAATCACTGAATAGTACATAACACTGCAAAAAGAAATGTACCAGTACATTGAAATAAAAATACAAACTGCCTACATTAATTATTCGTCTGTATACATGGAGATTTCCAAGGCTTATGACAATTCCTGATGCTCTAGATTTCTCAGAGCAATGGATACATCTGTGCAACAACCAAGCAGAAAATATTAAACTAATGGTGTTACAATATATTGCTAAAAATTTGACATTTTTATTTCAACATGCAAAGTTCTTTAAATGTACACAAATCTGTTTTTTCTCATATTTAACAAAATAAATATTTCAAAAAAAACTAACAAAAATTTTTAAAACTTATTAGTGGCCTGAGAAAACTTTCAGTTCACTATTCTCAACTAGTGTTAAAGGTAACATAGCCATAATGTTATACACATAATGAGTTAACACTTCATTGTACATTTTAAGCAGTGAACATATGGAATATATAGCAGACCTATCTTTTTATTTTAATCTAGAATGAATCAGAGTTCATGCATGGAGTCAAAGGTTCTAATAATCAAGAGTTACTTATCAATAGTGATCAACATCCTTACTGTTTCAATCAGACACTTTTATATTCTTTGTTAAAGGTTGGACATATGAGAAGATGATAAAGAATTGCAGTTGATTCTGAGATTGCTACCAAAAGAAGGGCCTTTGAAGTCTGTTTCACCAACTAATTATAATTAGTATGCCAAGTAGTACAACATGTAGTACATACAAGAATGTCCTTGTAGCCATAAGGTACAAGTCAGCCTAGTGGTAACAGTGTTAAAAATTACACATATTGACTTTCATTTCTTTATACTATATATAGGTTGTTTAAATTTAAAAAAAAAATCTTAAAGTCAGAAACTGTCATTTGTAGATCCTTGAATTTACGCCTGGATCCTAAAATCAATAATATGACATTCACCTTTACAGAGGAGTAAGAATGCTAGGAATGGGGTGATGATCTGTCACAATGTGCGGTTCTACTTTCAGAGAAGTAATGAATCAGTTATGTGAAAGTACACACAAACAGCAACCCAGAAAAGTCCCATTTCCAGCACTCAGCTAGCCTTACCCTAAGAGTTGCTTGAGAGCCAGGAGAGTGACACTATGCTAGAATACAGTGCAGCAACCTAAGCTGAGTACTGCAATCATGAGCCCATGGCCTTCTGTTCAAAACCTGATGGCCATTAATGTGAGAAAACATAAAGATATTAATACTAACTTCAAATTTTCAGAGTTGTTAAACTCTATTTTTCTAAGCAAAACTTTGACTCTTGACATAAGATTACATATTTTTAGAAGTTCACTTAATGCTAAGATGAGATCTTACTACGTCAATTACAGGCTCTTACCCTGATAAGAACCCAGGAGGCTAATGACAAAGCAGTTCTGTAAAATCAGCAGCACATCTAGGATGCTAACACAGCACAAGCAGCAACGGAGAAGGGAATGAGCCCGCACAGAAATCAGACCACAGACTCCGCAGATTACTTGGTAAACATCAGCACTACTTTGAGGTAACTGAACTGACTTTTTATATTTACCTAAAGTTTTCACCCCAGTTTATAACACTTAATATATTTTAATTTTAAAACAGGATTCGTTATCAGTTCCCTAAACAACGAAAATAAGGTTGTTGTGTTACCAAATCTATTTTTTTTCACTCATACAACAAAAATGTAATGAAAAGCTATTGTATGTCACAGATTATTGGGCATGGCAGCAATATAGTCATGATAAAAATGGATACAAGCCCATGCCCTCTTAAGAATTAACTTCTAGTGGGATAAAAAATAGATAAGCATATGGATAAAAATATACAGTACACCATACTGACAAGTACGAAAACAAGGATAAGGCAGAGGACAGGAGGTAGTAAAATGGTACGGAGAATCATAGAAAGAGGAGAGATTTTGTTGGGAAACATGACATTTTGGGAAAGCTGCAAAGATACCTGAGGGGAGCTAATCAGGCACAGAAATAGAAAAGGACAACTCTCAGAGAGAAGCATACCTGTTATGTTCAGTGAAAATGGAGGCCCGTGTGATGAAACCATGAGCAAGGAACACAGATGATGCCATGATGCCATAGAGTACACGCGGAGCCATTACTTACTGTGAAGATATGGTTTTTTACCACGGGTAAGTAAAGTTGAGGGACGGTTTTAAGGAGGAGTGATATAATCTAATGCACGCTTTAAAAGGATGACTGGCTGCTTATCTGATTAAGGGCTGAAGGGTGACAGGTCCAAAGAGGGAGATTAACAACTTTCTAGGTAAAAAGTCCTGGTTGTTCTGGATCCTAACAGTAACAGCAGGAGAGGTGTAGAGTGGATAACACTACATAGCCTCTAAGAAAGCTAAGACAGGTCTGCTGAGAGAACGAGTGAACAAAGGACACAGAGTGGAAAGAAGATTGTCAAAAGGGCTGTTATCTTGAGTGACCGTGACAGAACTCACAAGCACTGAAAGAAGGGACGGACAAGATAAAAAGGTATGGATTAAGGGACAGACTTTGGTTTTGAACAAGGTAAGTTATAAATGCCTGCTCAATTTCTGTATATATTTAATGATTCTAAAGAAGCAGCTGAAACAAAAGTGGAGAATTCTTAAATAAAAATAAACAAAAAAATGAAGTCTAAGTTTAGCTATCACCAATGGACTCAGTATACATATGTAAAAGACCAATTTGAACCTGGTATGTAAAGAAGATAAAATGTAACATTTGGGCTAAGATCAAATGCCCCACAGAAAGCTGTGTAAAAGGAACAAAATGTAAATAAATACTCTCCAGGAAACTAAAATTTAAGTTTTTAATATAATTTAAATTTACACTGACTATGGCTTATCCTTGGGGGAAAAAGCAACTTATATACTTTAATTAACTTCCCACTGAAGTGCTGTTACTAAAGAGCTGTATGTGGATTTACACAGCATTATGTTCCTTGTGAGGATCATACAAAAAGAAAACGGGAGCCTGTTACATGTTAGACACTAACCTATGTCCTGAGCACAGTTGAACATGGACAGAAGCATGCCACTAGCCTGCAGTGGTGCTGGGGACAAGCACAGGTTCATACTGCACTGAAAACATAAGCACAATGCTTTCTAAAATCCATAACTTATTCATACAGTTGGAGAGACTGAGCCATAACTATCCATTCCATAATACAAACCTTCATCTCAAAGTCCTCCTTTTGATCATCCTCATTTTCCATGTGTTAGATGTGAAGATTGCTATATCTTTCTGATCATTAAGAATTACTCAAATATTTAATGTATTTTTCCTATATTAATACTTCATGGGTAATTTATAGCTATTAATAAAACATGTGGATTCTGTTCATATATTCTGTGAATGCTCAAATTTATACTAAGCCAAATTAACAAAACTTTCATAGTGAAACAAATAGTATATGAAAAACAAATACTTTCAGGGCTGAAAATAAAGACCAAAAATACCAAATTTTACATCATTAAAACACAGTAGCATTCTTACTTCACCTCTCATTAACCTAAAATGGCAGTCTCATTCCAATGGCAAACAATGTTATTTCTGAAGCCAAACTAACAAAGTTAATATTCCATTTTATTTATCAGATAATTACATGCAGAGCAGCAAATAAAGAAAAAAAAACAAAAATAAAAAACACTTTATTAATTAAACACCAAAGAATTTAGAAAGGCATGTCACCAGTAAAAGAAATGTGCAGAATTTGTTGTATACACATGTTGACATTTCTTTAAAAAACTGCTACTGTGTATACAACTTTCATGTGTCTTTTGTATTATCTTAAAACTATCAGTGAATCTAAGCTGTTGAGAATAAATGATTGCACAATATTACACTGTAATTATTATGATAGCACTACTTTAACTCATCTTGGAAGGAGGCAGGAGCTTACCTGAAATGTAGATGATCTTTTGATCACTTCTTTGACCAAGGGAATTTGTCACTTTACAGACATAAACACCAGAATAATTGAAATTCAGTGGATGGACAAAATGAAGAGTATTGTCAGAAGCCAATAAACCATCAGGCCATTGTCCATCCAACCTAGATGTTTAAGAAGCATGACGTTATTTTAAATAGCTTAAAATAGCAAACACTGACAATTATTTAAACTGTCAAACTTTTAAGATGCCAATAAAACTACCTATGTGTTGGATATTAGTTATGGATGTATATAAATTTGATTCCAACTATTTCATCCTTAACTATCCAAGTCCATTAAGTGTACCCACTTCTTTAGAAATTTAATCTATGTATGTTACACAGGTCAACATAATGAGAAGGAAGATTTTCATAGCCTTTATTAAATTTCTTCCACAGTTTCACCAATTAAATATATGTTGCACATATATTTGCTGATAACTGTCATCCACAACATCTCTGAAGTTCCAAACCCCTTTTGCCTAACCCCTGAAGAGTTGTTTTTCCTATTCATGTCTTTTTGTGGCACACTGAATTGACCAAGGTTACTGGTGTGACCATGGATTTAGAACTATTCCCTGGAACCTAGTGGGCTCATCTGTGGGTACCTAAATGAAGACAATACATTTCATCCCTCTCCCCAGAACACAGGATATCCAACAGTTCAAAAAGCAGGGGTTGTGTCCTATGAGTCCCTTCATGAACGATTGGCTAGAGACAGGTCAAATCTAGTGCAGCATTCACTAGAGGCTGCCACAGCCTGCACTGACTGTGTCAGGGACAGAAGACAATACTTTGCAGCTCTTTCCCCATCTTCCTGCTTTTTGTTTCCCTCCCACTCTTCAAAATATTGCTCGAGCATTTGATGGGGTGGTATATGTCCCATCCAGGGTTGAGCACTCAACTATCACTTGATCTCAGAACCTTGAGCAGTCATGGAACTCTGTATTCAACACCACTCACTGCAGAGGAAACTACATCTCTAGATGTCTCCTGGCACAAAAAAAAAAAAAAAAAATTCTAAATGGATGAAAGATCTCGGCATAAAACCATTATGTTAGAGTGAAAGGAAGCTGATGTGGTACAAGATGCAGCCATAAGCAAGGCCTTCTTAAACAGAATTTGAGTCTCTTAAAAAACAAAGCCAAGAACTAACAAATCAGACCTCATGAAATAGCTTGTGTACAGCAAAGTCCATACAATGAATGAAAAAAATCTTTGCCAGCTCCTTATCTACAGAGTTAATGTATACAATACACACACAAGAAAATAAAACATCAAGAAAAGAATCTAATTTAAAAACAGGCTATAGAGGGAGCTAAGTCCTAGTTTGCTTTAACTACCAGTCTGCTAAAGCACCGAGTCCCATAAGAAAAGACTCACAACTGAGATTGCTCAGATCAGACTGGATTAATGGGCATGAATGGGGAGATGTTTTGGCATTTAATTGACTGTTAATTGATATAGGAAAACACAGCCCACTGTGGGCACTACCATCCTTAGGTAGATGGACCTGGGCTGCACACAAAAGCTAGCTTTCTGCTTCAATTTCTGTCCCACCTTTTCTCAATGATGGACTGTGATCTATAAATGGGAATAAGCCATTTCTTCCCTTAATTTACTTTAGGTCAGTGTTTTACCATAGTAACAGAGATGACACTAACAATATAAACAGATAAATCTCAAAGGAAAAACAAAAGAAATACAAAGGGCTAATAGACATTTTTAAAAGTTAGATATTGTTAGTGATTAGGGAAAATAAAACTACTTTGAAAGTCTATTTCACTGGAATGGTTATCATCAAGAAATCAAATGAAGGGCTAGAGAAATGGCTCAGCAGTTAAAAGGATTTGTTGCTCTTGCAGAAGACTTGTGCTTGGATCCTAGCACCCATATAGTCCCTCACAACTGTCTACTTGTCTATAGATCCAGAAGATTGTAATGCCCTTCACTGGCCTCCATGGACTCCTATATGAAAATAATATACAAATGCAAGCACACACACATAAAAACCAATAAATAAAATGTAAAAGAAATCAATTGACAACAAATATTGTCCAGGATGTCAGAAGAGGAGAGCACTTATTCACTGTAAGTGGAAGTGCAAAGCAATGAAGCCACTATGGAAATCAGTTCTTCAAAGGGCTAGGAGCAGAATTATCATATCACCCAGTTACCTATACTCAAAGGACTTATATCCTACTACAAAGATATCTACTCAACAATGTTAAATGATGTTCTATTCACAACAGCTAAGACAAGGAATATCGATAAATGGATAATAAAAATGTAGCAGACAGATACAATATAATTTTATTCAGCTGTGAAGGAAATAAGACTTACAAGTAAATGGAACTAGAAAAAATTATGAATGAGATAACACAGGAACAGAAACAAATAACTCCATGTTCTGTCTCATTTATAGACCCTAGTACTAAATCTTTAGATTTGTGTTTAATCTGGAGTACCTGCAGAAGCCAGTCAAAAAGGGCCACTGGGATGGGTGTGCCGAAGGGGTATAGCAGAACATGAGTGATATGCAAGTAGACAGAAAGAATACTAGAGATGGAAAGTTGAAGGTTAGGGTAGGGGATGTAGGGAGGCAACAGGAAAGGAGTAATTTCAATGACAGGAATGGGTAATCTCAGTGAAGTATATATGAAAAGGCCATAGGGAGCCTTGCTAAATTTAAACGTAGGCCAAAAACAAGAGTGAGAGTTTGAAGGGTGCCATTCTGCAGGGCGTGGACAGTGCTGCTCTTAAAAGCCAAGATCATTAAAAGCCACAATCCCAGCACTAGATAATAGATGCCTCTTTATAAGCCACTACTTAGCTAGGCACTAGAGGCCCCAAACTACATAACTTCTTGCTATTTCCTGGTTGTCTACCAGAATTAGATAAGACTAGATCTACTGCTGCAGATATCACACACCCTAATTATAGGGTACAGAGAAATCAAGTTGAAACTGAAGTAGAAGCTTCCTCTCTATGAGCTAGCTTTCATCAGACCTATGATAGCAAACAGAGGGAAAAAAGAAAAAAGTTAAGTCTCTAACATTGCTGCCAGTAAGGAACAGAAATGCTAGGACAGGGTGGTGAGAGATAGCAAGAGGGTAGAAAAAGACTGAGAAACCTTTTGCTTAATTTCTTCAGCTATTAATTTAATTACACAATACACTGATTCAAATTAATCTTAATGCATTCAAAATACCTTTCTCCTTTTAACAATTGGCTACTGTGCATTTAACTCTGTATTACCTGCTCCATACGGACTTGAAGGGTGGAGGATTTGCATCAGCATTACATTTGAGGTTAACACCTCTTCTTCCCACAAACCAATTTCCATCATATCCTGTAACTGAAACTTCAGGAGCATCTAGAAAATCAATGAATGCAAACACAATCATCCTTTGTTAGGAGTACATACACAATACAATGAAAAAACATTAATGTAATAGGTAAGCTTTACAAGAATTAAATTTATTTTTCCTTATTTTCAACATAATCACCTGGGAAGACAATATCCAGTAACAGTAGTTGACTAAGACAATGAATGGATGGATGGGTGGAATTCAATACCAGATAAAATCACCTATGGCAAGAATGCTGAATGTAAGACTTCATAACTCCTATTATAAAAGAGTAGACTCATAAACAAAACAAACACAGTATATTACTTAATAAATATGGAGACGTGGCATGTAGGTACTGCCTTAGTACCAAGTTCCTTATATAACTGTCTGGAAAAGGATGTTTAATCTGAGAGGAGTAAATTCATATTACAATTAAGTAATATTCATTGTAAATATAGAGCTGTGGCACATACTTTTTGAGACTATATACAAGTACAATAAATATCTAGAGCTTCAATGGCAACAAAACAAACTATTCACTACAGCCAAAAGGGTCTTTAGTATATGCTCAGCATAATAAATTTTAATTGTAATGAGTAGTGTAATCTAAACCCCTAAGCGTGGCATTTCACCAAAAAGTAAAAACAATAGAACTTCAAAACCCCAGCAAAGATGACTTCAATCTGCATGTATGAAAATGATAACAGACCTAAACACTTGCTGCTGTTATCTCCAATCTGCCTAATGTTAAGTCACTCTTGAAAGAAAGCAACAACCAATTTTACTCAAAAATTTAAAATTTCAAACAAATCACAATGCATCAAAACCAGAAACTGATGAAAAGTGAAATGCGGGTACACATGAAAATATGAGAACTCCTCAGTACAAAGGAGGCAGCTAGGACTCTGGTATACAGTTTCTTACTATTCCAAATCATAACTTTAAAATATTTTAACTACATAATAATATCAGTAAGATCAGCTTAGAACAATACTGAAGAAAGATTTTCAAACTAGCTAAAATGTACCTATAAAGTAAAAGATAATCCTTTGTTTTGTTTTTCAAGACCGGGTTTCTCTGTGTAGCCCTGGTTGTCCTGGAACTTGCTCTGTACTTTGGGCTGACCTGGAACTCAGAGACCCCCTCCTGCCTCTGTTTACCCAGTTCTGGGATTAAAGGTGTGCACCATTACTACCCAAGTAAAGGATTCTTACTGAAAACAGTAGGACCCAGGGGCAGGGGCAGCAGCCCAATTAAACACAATGCAGTTGTTTGTCTTTTAAGTAGTACACATCTGAGGTACAAGTTTCCACAGCTTCCTTAAGGTTAGCCTCCTTTAAAGCCTCAACTTTTAGTTGAGCATCACTGCATACTCAGTACTCAAACCAAAGGCGATTTGATGAAGAACTCTGACTACAGGAGAAAATGCGGTATGTAGCTTATGCTGAACGTAGACACTGGTGTAGACACTGGATGTCTAGTAAGCAGACCCTGGTGCGTACTTACATTGGATGTCTAGAATGAAAGAGTATCGGACATCCTTTTCTAAGGCTGGATGTTTGACAACACAAGTAATTCGCCTTCCTCTAGCAAATCTCGTGGGAAAGAGCTTGTACTGGCTGACAATCGTGGCTGTTTCATTGGGAAAGGAAGTTGTAGTAGATTCCATTTCACCAAGATCACCTTCCCAGTCAATACGTGCAACTGGTTTTCCAGTGGCTGCTATACAAATGGCTGCTACTGTTTCATTTCCTCCATCAATTAAAGAGTCTGGCCCTTTTATCAGGCTCACCGTAGGTTCAACTGTTAAAATGAAAAAAAAAAATATGTACTTCAATTAATAAAGTATTTACAATTTGTTCTATCCACATCTAGAAATAATTATAGTCTTAGGGACAAATACAAATAAAATCATACAAGTATATTTTAAGTAATGCCAATATCAACTGGATACCTACAATAAGAGGTTAAGTTTTATATTATCATCACAAAGATGGCTGTCCTGATAGTTTCACCTTCTGAGATGAATGAAATATAATCAAATTAAAAGATTTCTATGACCCTGATCATAATTTCCTTTATATAAAGTCATTACTTCTGAAATAAAAATAGCTTTATACATTAAATACATTATATGTATGTATATATTACTTCATTCTAAGCGAAGTTTAAAGCAAATAGCCTTTAAATAAGTCACTAGTTTTGTCTGTCTCTAATTCATACCTAGCTATTATTGCTCTCTATTTTACCTTAAAGGCTATTAATATTTCCTTAAGTACCCTTCAAGCAAAGGGAAGGGAAACAAAGGGAAGGGAAAAGAAACATACATAATGTATATACAGAGCAAATATCCACGTAACCACCACAGGAACTAAAAATATGAACAACTCCTAAGTTCCTTGTCTCTCTGTGTCTTACCCTATCAACTTAATGTGGAATCATAACTCAAACCTGGTAAATGAATTTTTAAATATCTTCTAAATAGAATCAATAGGGCAAATCCAAACCAGACAGCCTTACTTTACCTGTAACTGGAGTATATAACAGAATTGTTGTGAATTATATGTTCCAGTGTTTTGTTTTTAAGACATGGTTTCTCTGTAGCTTAGGATCCTGCCCTGTAACTAGTTCTTGTAAACTAAGCTGAACTCACAGAGATCTACCTGCCAATGCCTCCTAAATGCTGGAATTAAAGGCGTGTGCCACTACTGCCTAGCATCAGGTTTTCTTTGAGTCAACAGATTCATTTCTTTAGCTTTATTATTTTAAATTCACTTCAACTATTCATTTTCCCATGATTTAGATCCATGTGGGATTTTATTATCATAGAACTTATTTATACAATAAGTCATTTATTTATACCAGAATTTATTATGGGTAGATGACACTAGGGTTTTTCTCTGTTTTTATAACTCATTCATATATATATCTTGGTGTATTTATAAACAACTTCCTCTGATTTGTCCCCAAACTAGAACTGCTTCTATCCTGGTTATTTTCAATTTTACCCAAGCTTATATGAGGTGCCAAATTAACTTGCAATCTTCAAGATATGTATCCATATATTCACCAGCTAATGTTATTAAACTATTCAGTATTCCAACCTCACATATGTCATGATGCATCATTAAGATTTACATTTCTCAAGTTATGAATGAAGGTGGAGGGTATCACATATGCTGTAGGGTCATTTTCAATTTCCTTTTCTGCCAAATGTATTTTGAGGTGAGGTGGGTTTTTTTTTTCCTTTTAACTGGTATGTAAAGGATGGACATAAATCTTGGAAAATAGTCTCTTCTAAGTTAGATGTAGCACAGATTATTTTCTATCAGTCTCAAGCGTATCTTTCTTCTGCTTCGTGTCTTGTTTCGTTTGAGATGTTCAGGTGCTGGACCAAGGTCCTGTGAATGGATGGTAGACACATGCTCTGTCGCTGAGTTTTATCATCACCAGTCCATTTTGAAAAAGTTAATCCAAATGTATTGAGCTGTTTTTATTTATTTTATTTACTTTGATGTTTTGATTATTTGTTTTTATTTACTTTAACTATGTACCAAGAAATACCCTTTTTCTCCTATTTGAGGCAAAATATTATGTGATTTCTAATTTTTTTTTATAAATTTAAAGATTAATGAATTTCCCCAAATGCTATAAGCAATACTGTTTAAAAATCTCTGGTAATTCCAGCATCTTCTGTCTATGTAGATCCATTTGGGCATTTTTTAAGGCATCCCAGACTCACTCTGTATTCTGCTATAACTGAGCTTCACTTTGCCTGCCTCCATCTCTAGAATATAGGAATTACAAGAATGTGCCCCCCCATCCTGTGGCAAATTTACATAGAGCTGAGAGTCAAACCCCCTTATGCTAGGCTCTGTACCAACTGAGCCATACCCCAGACAGGAGTCTGTTTCTGTGGTCTTATTTGTACAGGGAGTTGAAGACCAACCCCCCCCCCCCCACCCCCGTTACTTGTAAGACCGGTAGTCCTCAAACAGAGGACTATTATCTGAATTATTAATGTAGAAATACTTAGAGACTAAAAATATTCCCTCAAAAAAAATCTTTCTTTTGGCCAAGCTCCTACAAACTAACTAGGCCAGGATTTTCTCAAGTTCTTAAATTATATAGCCTGGGTCTATGACTCTTCAAACACGACTTGCTTTGAGTTTACTACTACTCTGAGACTGTGAATCTTTGAAATACAAAGCAAATGAAGTAAGACACTCCATACTGGACAGAATTACACCTGAGACTCTGCTTCTTGCTTCAACTGATCTTAGCCCAAAGGCTAAGAAGCCATCTCTCCCTTCTAGAAGTTCTAAATCTTTTCTGGGCATCACAATTCACATCCTGAAGTTCTATGCAGTCATCTTCTCCCAGTAATAATACAATCATGCTCCTCACTATATACTTTGGGGTTCCAAACACCCCAGTTGAAGAGCTGGTCTGAAAAACTTATATATGCACTAAATCTTTCTTTTCCTCGAGAAACATATATGTTTAAAGTCAATTTTGAATGATATTATTTACTTTTTTAAAATTGTTTTTATTGAGCTCTACTTTTTGCTCTACTCTCTGCTTTCCTCCCCTCTCTGCTTCTACCATCTCCCATGACCCCCAAACATGCTCCCAACTTACTCAGGAGATCTTGTCTTTTTCTATTTCCCATGCAGATTACATCCATGTATGTCTCTCTCAGAGTCCTCTTTGTAGTCTAGGTTCTCTGGGGTTATAAATTATAGGCTGGTTTTTTCTTTGCTTTATGTCTAAAACCCACCTATACATACTATATTTGTCTTTTTGGGTTTGGGTTCCCTTACTAAATATGTTTTTTTCCAGATGTATCCATTTGCCTACAAATTTCAAGATATCATTATTTTTTACCACTGTGATTGGGAAAATAACCTTCACCAACCCCACATCAAACAGAGAACTAATCTCCAAAATATACAAAGAACTCAAGAAACTTAACATTAAAGGAACAAATAATCCAATAAAAAATATGTACAGACCTAAACAGAGAACTCTCAGCAGAGGAATCTCAAAGGGCTGAAAAAACACTTAAGGAAATGCTCAAAATCCTTAGCCATCAGAGAAATGCAAATCAAAACACTTCTAAGATTCCATCTTATACCTGTCTGAATGACCAAGATCAAAAACATTGGGGTAAGGGGAACACTCTTCCATTGTTGGTGGGAGTGCACACTTGTACAGCCACTTTGGAAATCAGGCAATTTCTCAGAAAATTAGGAAATAATCTACCTCAAGACCCAGCAATACGGCTGTTGGGTATATACCCAAAAGAGGCTCAATCATACCACAAGGACATTTGCTGAACTATGTTCATAGGAGCACTATTTGTAATAGCCAGAACCTTGAAACAACCTGGATGCCCCTCAAGCAGAAGAATGGATAAAGAAAATGTGGTACTTGTTATTTTTCTTGGTAGTTTTATCCCTTCAGTTGGCTTTTCTGTACAGATAGATCCCTCTGCTAAGCAATCTTCCTGTTCTGTCACCTTGGACCCTGTACGACCTTGCTAAACCTAGTATTGAATACTATCCAATAAGCTACAAAGAAGCCTCAAATGCTGTGTCTAAGACACTTCCAAGTGAGACAAAGGCTGCTGGCCTATGTACTACACTTTAAGCACCAAGGTCTTCAGAGCAGATGAGGCAGGAGCACAAGCTTACATTTACTTTTACAGCAGAAACATCAATTTTTCCATTCATTCAAGTTATTTTCAAATGCTCCAGACTTAAGTGTCTTATACTTCATACAAATGCTTTGCACAACTGATAAATTACTTTTTCAGTAGTCTGTTTCAACCATTTAAATTCCTCCTATCCTAGACTTTCCCAGAAATCACTTGTGTGGTGAGAGATTGTCATTAAAATGAGGAAGTGTTACTGGCATTTGATGGGTTGGGGCCTATGGATCTGCAAAGCACTCTATGAGGAATAGACAAGAGTCCTCAACAAAAAGAATTCTAGCTCTCACATTCAAAAATGGAGAATTAAAGAAACTTTAATACCTCTTAGATTTGGCTCTCTGCCAATTCAGTTGAAGTTCCATGTGCCAAACCCAAACTACCCATTACTTAAGGACTAACAACCATTCCTTTATAAAATATGTCTCGAATTCTATGTTCACCTAATCTTACTTAAGAATTCTTACAGGCCTTGGGGAAGGTGTTAGCTCCTCCAGCTGAGCAAAGGGGCTTTCTGAAGGAGGAGCTGAGGTGCCTCTCCACCTCAGCTACAGATTGTGGTTGCTCCTCTATCTCTGATCTGGGACTACAACAGTATTCCTCTACATTTCCAGATTGCTTTACATCCTACTTCAGGAGTTACCACAATGCTAACAGGTTTAGTCCCACCTTAAACTCTAACAATTTAGGTAGCTAGTATAAGATTCAAACAGGTACACAAGTCTTCAACAGCAGTAATAAAAACCACTATGGAAAACTGAAATACACAGTGGCAAAAGGTTCCAAGAAGTCCAATGAGAGTCACTGGAGAAAAACAAACAAACAAATAAAAAAGCAGGAAAAACTAAAAACAACAAAAACATCACTAAATTTTATATTGAAGTAATAAAAATGTTATTTTTTTAAGTTCAGTTTTTAAGAACAGGATTTCATTCTGTAGCCCCAGTTAACCTGGACTATATGGCAATAACCTGCCTGAGCCTCTCAAGAGCTGGAATTACTGGTGTGAGTCACCATGGCTAGCTGAAAATCACATCCATTATTACAGTTCCACCTATTATGAAAAGAGCCAAAACTGTGTGGCATTACAGGCAGGTACACACAGGCTTTGCTTACATTAAGAGAGCCTAGAAACACAACATTAAGACAGAATTTGAGAATGTATATCTGAATGTTTTTAATTTAAATCATATTTATAGAAATCCTTATTTTATATGATTGAAAACATTCTCAATAGGATATCATAGTCTCAAACTCAACTCAAGCACACCTACCTAACACAGTCACAGTTGTAGAGGACTGGGCATTTCCAAGTGGGAACGTAACAGCTTTGCATATGTATTTTCCAGAGTCTGAGAAGCCTATGTTATGCAGAGTAATTGTTGCATCATTAAGTGAGTAGTTTTTAAACAAGACTCTTCCCTGATAATCTCCTTGAACAGAGAATCCATATTGAGGATGATGAACTGCAACAGTCTGTGTACTTTTGCCATGTATCTTCTCCCATGAAATCTGTGTTATAGTTTCATTCACTTCAATTAAACATTTCAACGAAACATTCTTTCCCCACACTGCCGTGACATGTGGCTCCACAATAATTGATCCAGCTAAGGCACCTATAAAAGAAACAAAAACATATGTAATACAGTTTTGATAATGGAAAACGTATGCTAACATACAGTCACTCTCCCTCTTTCTCTACACACATACACATATCCACCCACCCATCCCACGCACACACACACACACACACACACACACACACACACACACACACACCTGAACAATAAGAGCCTGAAAAGAGCTGGAATCCGGGCCAGCTGGAAGTCAGATACAAATGACCATCAAACCATTCACCAGTGAGCTCAGCAGAAAGGGAACTACACTGGAGGCAGATTCTCCCACATCAAGACTTCACATGAGATTTCAGACATAGCTGCCACCTTGACTGCAGCTTTGTGAGAGTCTAAAGGGTGCACCTGAACCATGTCTAGATGCCCCTCCCCCCACTGAACCAAAGAAGAGTAGATGTTATTTCATAGTTAACAAATTTTAGGTATTTTTTAATGTAACAACAAATAACTTGTTTAAGATCTAAGATCAAGGTAGTTTCCTATGGAATGCTAAAATTCTCTATTAAAAAAAAAACAATCTTTTGAGATAGACCAACTTCAAGAAAACACTAAAGAAATATTTACTATGAATACCAAATTGTTTTTTTTTCAGCAGAGTGAAAAAACATTTCACAAACAAGTTTAAAATGAAATGACACCAAACTTCTCCTAAATGCCAGAGAATCATGATTGTCCTGAAGGAGACCAATACTGATTACTGTATTGAAGACACTGCTCAGTAAATGCTTTAAAACATAAACAAACTGCCCTCAGAGAGCTCATCACACGTCACCTGACAAGGAAACAACAAAAACTATGAAGCCAAAATAAGTCCTCAAAACATAAATTGCAAAAACATCTTTAAAATAATGTCATTTCTAACATTTTAAATGAATATACAAGTGCAGAAGGAATGAAAATAATTTTTTAAATGCATTAAATTTTATTCAAACACTATTTTTTTCTGTTTTGTTTTGACAAGGCCCGCTACACAGAAAAGCTGGCCTTTCGCCTCATGACTCATAGCCCACAGCTTTCTTCAATCAGGACTAGGCACAGGTCTTAAACAATATTCTCTCTTTTCAGGGGGAAATATTGCAAAAAAGTCAATAAAATGGAAAAAGGGCCTTCTAACAGATGAATATAGGAAGGCACTAATATTTATTGTTTATAGGAGGAAACCAATCATTTATAACACTATCTTTAGCAACCACGAAAGAAAATGTTTTAGTGTTCTTTAAACCATTGTTTGTTATCAAGAACCCCTCAATTCATCATCACTCATTATTGACTCGAAATGTCGAAAATAACTAGCTCAAGATGTACAGTATTCTAAGGTTTTTAGTATGAAGTAGGTAAAGTCAGGCACTAAGCCAGAAATTATGCAAACTCATGAAAAAGTATCATGAATAATGACTTGACTGGAAGAAAGGAACAGGACTATCAGATGGGAAAGGAAGGGAACAAGTGGGTAAGGGAGGGACAGCTAAAACTAAGGGCCATTTGAGAAGTCATATGGAAGTCTTAATATAGTAGAATCCTAAAATATATACATAATTGAAGGTCATCTAAATGGAATCGCTAAATAACGGGGAGACAGAACCAACGGGACATCTCTCTCATTACCAAACAAAGCCTCCAGTTCTGGGAATGGGGTTACATCTAATCAGTTGTTGGCCAAACAACCCAAGCCACCCTCAGGGCTACTGGTTCCTATCCACAAACTGACAGTAAGGCTCCACAACTATTCAAGAGAAAAGGAGAGCTGGCCCTTACTTTTTAGAGCCTTCACTCCTATGGACTAATGTTCACGGCACCAGAAGGGACCCTGTGTGCACAAAGGCAAAAAGGTAAACACCAACCCAACTACAAATCCTTCGATCTACAATGATGTTCCATCTGCAAGATTCTCAAATGTAATAGCGGAGCTAACCAACCAATAATATCTGATTGGACTTAAGGCCCACTCCATGAAATGGAACCCTTTCCCAACCTTTGGGTAGCCAAGCCAGGGATTAGGGGAATATCAAATACCACTGCTTTTCCAAGGAACATAGCAATAAAATAGTAGAACAAAATGTTCTACTATACTCATAGATCAGGGTTTTGCTCAGTCATCAGAAAGAGAGCCATCATCAGAAAAACCTCCTCCTGCTGGAAATGGAACACATACAGAGAGTCACACCTGGACAATAGTGAATACAGAGTAAGACACCTTGAATCAATTCTAAATGGATCTCCATCAATTCCTTCCCCCTCAGGACTCAAGAAACCCTAAGAAAGAGAAGATGGAAAGATTCTGAGAGCCAGAGGAACATGAAGGACTCCAAGGTATCAAGCCCTCTAAATATGTATGTACATATGAATTCATAGAGACGGTGGCAGCATGCAAAGGGACTCTATAAGTTTGGGTCTGATGGGGTCCCAACACTGAGAAGTGAATATAAACACTCATTTCTAACCCAGAACCTAATTCCAATTGATAACCACTCACAAATGAAAAAAAAAAATATAGTTTTCTTCATTAGAGTCTCTCACTGAGGAAACAAACACTCTTAAGGCCAATCCCCATGCCCCCATAGCACATGGCCAACACAGAACTAACTCAATGGCACCTTTGAAGGTTCTTTGTCTCACAATGTTTTGCCACTTATTTTTTCAACTGTTTTTGTTTTTTAACTTTTCTTTACAGGTCCTTTCCATACATATTACAGTTTTCAGTTTTGTATTTTTATGGAATACCTGTATGTGTACATGTGTCTCAGTGTCTATTGTGTTTCTTGAGCTTTTTGTTTGGCTCTTTTTCTTTGGAGTTTGTTTACTTTGTCCCATTCTGGTATGTTTTTAACCTAATTTCATTTTATTATTATTTATTTTAAGATGACTGTATCTTAATGAGGAAAAGAAAGGGTAAGGATTTGAGTGGGTGGGTGGGGAAGATCTGGGGAAGGTAAAATCATAATCAGAACTAATATTTTTCAATAAAAAGGTTTTACAATAAATGCACATATCATGATACATTAAGCTCTACATTTTACACATAAAATATATGATACCCAATTGAATTTTTTCAAGAATATAAAGATACTTTTTGACTAATAATAATGAAAGCTGACATAATTTTCTCATTTGATACCCAAAAAAAGGAAATTTAGTAACAATGAACACTTATTGCCTGTCTTTTGTCAAAGAAAAAGCTAACGTCTAAGAAAACAAGACCTCTCAATAATAAAGTTTGCAAAACAGTCACCATCATCATTCGGGCTTGAGCACAGTATGGTGCATACACAAGTGTCTCCAAGCTGTGTAGAACCCTGAATAGTGAATTTAGCTTTTACTTATACAGACAGGGAGGAGGGAGGGGTATGACAAGCAGAAGAAGCATCCAAGGCCGCCACCTTGATCCTAGGCACACATGCTTAAGGTTCTAAAAACTTTCCTGATTTAAAAAAAAAAAGCATTATAGACACACAATAAGATATTCAGATATAAAAGAACTCTAAAATGGTCATACTGTATTTGATAAATGTACAGAGGCTTGGGAAAGAGAAAAGAAAGAGTACAAACAGTCAAAGATTAATGGTTTTAAAATCCTTAAAAAGGAATAGAATTTTACATGTATTAAGCCAGATAAAGATGGAAAATATACAGAGTCAGAATTAATAAATATTATTGTATATTCTTAGAATTTTTTGACTGTTAATAAGTTAACTGCTTTGGTTATGGGGGGCTACTGAGTTAAACCAACATATATATTTTAAAGGTATCTTGACTTCAAATTTTAAGTCTAAAGATATTTTGTTTCCACTGAAGATGAAAACCTGTGGATTCCTTCCAGGCTACTATGGTTTGATTGAAAAAGAGCCCCTGAAACACCTCTGTGAACCCTAAAGATACTTTATCCACAGACAGTAGGAATAAGTTTGGAGAAAATAACATCTATATCCCCAAGAGTTGAAGGTGGGTGGGTATGGAGAGTCTTTGGTTATTTGGCAGGTTAGGGGTGTTTGTTATATTTAGGGACATATAAAAATAAGACAAAAATCCAGGCGGTGGTGGCGCACGCCTTTAATCCCAGCACTCGGGAGGCAGAGGCAGGCGGATCTCTGTAAATTCGAGGCCAGGTCTACAAGAGCTAGTTCCAGGACAGGAACCAAAAAAGCTACAGAGAAACCCTGGGCTCAAAAAATCCAAAATATAAATAAATAAATAAATAAATAAGACAAAAAGAAAACCATTAATCTCAGATATTTTACAGTGGCATGGACTTTTGGCACAATGATACAATTTAAAGTAATTTTGGTATACTGTATATTTGTTTCTATTCTTGTTTATAAGATTTTTGTATATTGATACAAATCTAAAGTCAATTTTGTTATACTACATAGAATATACATATATTTCTACTCTTGTTTAAAATATTATGCTTATGCAGTCCATTTAAAAATATACTAGTCATCTATAATAGTCAACCTTATAGACATGTTAGGTTTTCTAGATTTGCAGAGATATATTTGAAATGGAAAGGTAACCTTCAAAACCTTCAAAGACCTACAGAATATGGCATTTAAGATATTTTAATAATTTAAAATTTTTTCAATGTGAGACACTTGCTCCTGACAGTCCCTATGATTTCAAAGAGTGTTGTGGGAGCTGCGGGCTGCGTTCCTGCCACCCAGCTCCTGGCCGCCAGCTAACTTATGCCCCAAAATAACAACAGACAAACTGTATTCTTTTAAACTCTGCCTGGCCAATTATATCTAGCCTCTTCTAGGCTAATTCTCACATATTAATTTAGCCCATTTCTAATAATCTGTGTAGAGCCACTAGGTGCGCTTACCAGGAAAGATTCAGCATGTCTGACCTGGCGGCTTGCTTCATCACGTCTGGCTCTGAGAGGAGCTGCATGATTTCTGAGCTTACTTCCTCTTCCTCCCAGCATTCTGTTCTGTTTACTCTGCCTATCTAAATTCTGCCCTATCAGATGGGCCAAGGCAGTTTAT